AAACTCTTTCTTCATGCTCAAGCCCAGATTGTAAGTTTCACCGACTAGTCAACCACCATTCAAGACAGCAAGCTCAATCCCAGCAAAGCCTGATCATTTGACACCCAAAGTATGCAATAACCAGCATCAGGGAATCATAGAACGAAAAATGCACAGGAGTCCATTCAGCCCATCGTGTTTTTGCAATTTAGCCTGAATCAATGGTTAGCAATTTGAAATGGACCAATGGCAGATATTTCTTTTCTGATTCTGGGCTGTTCAGGCCAACTGTAGTGTTGTTAGTGCTGGCTCAGCTGAAATAAGCACAAACCAAGATTAAAACTTAGACTAAACATACTAACAGGGATAAAAGGAGAAATCATACCTGCTCCATTAAAGCAGTAGTCTATTTCTTGTTTCATACCATGTTAACATTAACACATATGGTGGGAGATGTGAGAGGGATATGCAAATGTAAGTTACCAAATGCTCTGATACGCACACAGAAAACGTTTCCACATACAGACAACATTCCTTTTCCAAAAAAAAAATTCTCTACCTTGGCATCTGCTAACTGTCCTTGTTATTGAGCAATGAGATTGTAAGGAAATATAGTGTGATGTTAATTTTCCTGTACAACTGTGGAGAAATGTTAGCTATCTATGATAGCCATTACCTTCTTTCATATTACTGCACAATTATACAATTAAGGGGCGAACACATGAAAATATGAAATGTTAATATAGATCTAATCCATGTATGAATTTTACAATAAAGTTAAGCCAATTCATAAAGTTATGTATTTTGCCCTCTTCATAAACCTCGATTTTTCAAAAGAATTCTTGGAAAATTGAATAAACTGTGCTGATTCTAGTTGAAATCTGGCGGTTCCTGAGACACGTGTATTTTTGTTAGATATGGGCCAGTTGTAATCAATTCATAGTTAAGAGAAAACGACTGCCCTCAGCTGTTGCTATGGTCACCTTAACAAGCTCTAACACATTAACACTTACAAACTAAGCAAAGATTGATGCTTGATTCAGAACTTCTGCACAGCCACAGAAATTAGAAGCAATTTGGTACAGTGAAATTTTTGGTTTCTAAATACTAGACTGCTAATCCGTAAGTTTCTTTCCTGAATTAATTTTAACTTGGTGGAGTAGCAGCATGATAGCTACTCCCTGGCTCCCTTAAACCAGTGAGCACAAGGCAGGTGAATAAGCCAAAAAAAGCTAAAAGTCAGAAGTTTCACAACTTTATTCTACTTCTGCACAAAAAATGGATAATCAGAACACACTTCAGCTGAAAACTTAATTTTTTTTTGCAACTCAATGTGCAATTTTGCCATAGGCTTTGCAATAGGCACCACTAAGCAATTGCACCAAGTTGCCAAAAGAAGTATACATTTAATTAATTTTCAAGGATGTACAAAGGAAAAGGAAGCAATAAAATAACTTTGCATCTTTATTCCCATCTCCCTAAATTACAATCTGACTGGCTCTTTGCAAATATGCCATTGTGTATTTAGCTACTCCCAACTGGAGTCTGTGTGTTTTGCCTCTGGTTCCGATTCTCCCAGTCACAAAAAGCCTTGTCTCCACATCCAATCCTGGGAGATCACCACATGACTAATTACATAACCGACCTTGCACACATGGCAATTTGTGACATGCTACAGCACTGCTGCATAGCTAGCCTCTGAAAAAAATAGATCGCAAGTTAACGAAAACTACAAGATCTCCACGACAGATATGGTAGCACACGGACTGAACCATTCTAATATTCTTGTCCAAAATTGCTTCTTTTATCCTCAAAGAAATATCACGCCTGACCGCAGACAAACCTAGCTGATTATTTGGCAGTGTTCACTGTTTATTTTGCTTGCTGTATTGTCCGATTTCATTTTCTGATGACGTGAAGATATGCAATATTGTAAGCAGTGTCGACAGAGGCCTAGATACACAGATTATCAAAATATCATGAATCAAACAAAAACAATATTCAAAGGCTAATGGAATGCTGAGCCTTTATATCTAGCAAACTAGAATACAAGGGAATGGGCATCACGTTTCAGCTATAGAAAGATCTAGTTAGACCACACCTGAAGTACCAGGAGCTGTTCTGGGCACTACACCTTCAGAAGGATACTCTCGTCTTGGAAGTAATAGAATGTAGACAGACCAGAATGATACCTGGACTCTAGGGTTCTTTTATCAGGAGGTATTACACAACTAGGGTTGTGTAAATGCCTAGGGAATTTAGAAAGTTAAGGGACGATTTAATCAAATTTATATATTTAATAATATCTCAAATAATAAGTCCATAAACATGAATTATTGTCCGTGGATGAACAGTCTGAGTCTAGGAAACATAGCCTAATAATTACAGCCAAACAGGTTAAATAAAGATAAATAGTTAGGAAGTCTAGAACCAAGGGGCATAGTCTGAGAATTAGGGTCAGACCATTCAGGAGAGATGTCAGGAAGCACCTCTACACACAAAGGGTGGTAGAGTTTTGGAACTCTCTCCCACAAACAGCAGTGCATGCTGGATCAGTTGTTAATTTTATATCTGAGATAGATAAACTTTTGTTCAGCAAATATATTATGGTAAAGGGGGCAAAGGAGTTAGACTGCAGATCAGTCTTGATCTCATTGAATGGTGAAGCAGGCTGAATGGCCTACTCCTGTTCCCGTGTTCCTTTTGGAATCGAAATTTGGAAACAGTTGTGTGAGCACGCACACACACATACATACATAAATAATATAGTAGGCGATTGGAATGTTCTCCCACAAATGGCAAATGATGCTAGATAAGTGTAAATTTTGAATGTGAGGTTTCTAGATTTCTGATAACCAAGAACGTTAAGAGGCATGGGACAAAGGTGGGTATATGGAGCTTAGGCACAGATCAGCCTCGATCACACCGAATGCTGGAAGAAGCTGGACAGGCTAAATATCTTGGATAGAGTTGTATCAGAGATAGTAGGAATTGCAGATGCTGGAAAATCCTAGACAACAAGGTGCAGAGCTGGATGAACACAGCAGGCCAAGCAGCATCAGATTTTCTGATGAAGGGTCTAGGCCCGAAACGTCAGCCCTCCTGCTCCTATGATGCTGCTTGGCCTGCTGTGTTCATCCAGCTCTGCACCTTGTTGTCTAGGCTAAATATCTTAGTGTGATTCCTCATGTCCTGTGTTCCCCATATTAATGAATGCAAGTAAAGATTAAAATTGTTTAATTATGGTAGGACCAATTATCACTTAGGAAAAAAGTACAATTGTCTCATAATTTCCTTGAAAAATAACAGCGGTCCTCTCAAACATATTTCTGATAAGTAAATCGACTGCTTAAAAAAACAAGCCAATGGTGTACTTAAAAGTGTTAATCCATGTGCTCAATTACTGGAGTGGGTCTCAAATAAACAATCTCTGACTCAGAATAAAAGTGCCATCAAAAGGGCTAAGCACCAGCGGGTATAACCTCAAAGCTGCCAGTGATCTGTCTTCTAATTCATCAATAAACAAACAATCAGACCCAAGCTGATTGAACTCCCATAGATAGAGAAGTCCAAGAATGATCTTTGAAAGAATAGAATTAAAAACAACATTATCTGTCCTAGTAATAAATGGCTAGCCCAAGACTCAATCAGAAGTACCAAGCTGGAGAGTCTTGGATGGAAGTCCAGGCTCTTTCCACCACTTGTCCCCTTACTCTCCAGTCTCAACAGCAATCACAATGAACTAGAGCTGACAAATGGATCAGTACACTTGAAATGTACTGTAACAGGTCCAGTATAAATATGCACACTTTTCTTCCTATGTTCTTAAGGCAAATGAGGAGATTTCAAGCAATTAAAAGGTTGCTGTAAGTAACTTTCATTGAAGTGAAACATGCAATATGCCCTCCATCATGTTCTACTGTTGACCTGTCAAATCATCGCACTTATTTACCATGGGGAAGAGAAGGGGAGAGAAACCCACTTTTTTTAAGAGCACCTTTCTCATATACTTTACAAGCGGGGCAGCACTTTTTTGAAGCATAATTGCTGTTGTGATGTAGGAGAAGCAGCAGCCAATTTGTATACAGCAAGCTAATGATAACGCAGGTAATATGTTTTTTTTAATATGCTGACTGAAGGATAAACATTGGCGGAGACACCAGGGGATAAATCCCATGCTCTTCTTCAAAATAATACCATGATCTTTTGAGTCCGCCTGAGAGCATAGACAGGACCTGGGCCTGACATCTGATTTGAGACAACACCTCTGACAGTGCAGCACTGCAGTACCAGTCCCAGTATTAGATGTTCCAAGTCTTTAGAGTGCAGCTGAAATCCACAGACTTTTGACTGAGAGGCGAGATGGGTAGTAGCTGAGCTGGGACCTGACTCCAGGATTTGAGATGCAAAAGGTGCAAGTTTTGAAAGTCTCCCCGCACCCCACTGCATTTTCACGGCTGGTCAGAAATAGTATTATTTGGAAAAAGGGAGGGAGAACCCGGCCACGATCCATCGGTGATCGAAAAAGGCAGCAAAATGATGTGGAACAGTATTCACCAGGAAACCCCAGGATTGGAAAGAGGGGGAACTGGGCCGCCCTGATAGTGACAGTGAGTGGATACAGTGAGTGACCCCACTGGTGATACAACGTTGACACAGTGTTTCAATGTAAACAGAAAGAAACATTGAAGCCAGCAGACAGACTGCGAGGATCGGGGAAAGCGGAAAGTTGGATCTGGCTACAATTTTTTTTTAAAAAAGAGAAAAAAAGCAGAGAAACGAGTGAAATTTCAGGGCCCGCCACCAGGACTCAAGTCAAATCAAACCCCATTTAAAAGGAATCTCCAACCCTCCTCCTCCTGCCCCCTTCCGAGCGGCCCTGCCGATCCCTGCGCTTCCTCAGCTGGGAGAGATTTCACAGGGAGCCGGGGCCCGCAGGAGGAGCAACCTCCGACAGAGCAGCCCCCGGTTCACCCCCCGGGGTTTCAGGCACTCGCCCCCGCCCCGAGCTCACGGTTTACCTCCGGCTCTGCCTGTAGCTCCCGGGCCGCCGGTGCTTCAAGTCCACGTCTCCACCAACGTGGCAGCCGGAGCAGATTGGACCGACCCAGCTCCACTTCCGCTTCCTCGGAGTGCAAAGTCCGCCCAGTATCAGGCAGTGAGAGGGAGAGCAGATCCTGCGGGTTACACAAGAAGGAAGGAGGCAGGACCTGAGGGAGAACGAAGCAAAGCAGCAGCTAGAAGCATCCGCACATCCACTGGGCACACACGAGTGCAACCCACAGTAACACAGGCACTGCGCTATACTTAACCATATCACAGTCATCGAGCAATCACACCGTTGGATCAATGAACCATTCTGTACACTCCAAAAAAAGGTGAACGGCTACATTTGAACAATTGTATGAGTGTCCAAAAGATATCCTCAACAACCTGAAAGATCATCGACCTGCGTTGTTGACTGTCTGTCTGTCTTTCTCTCTCTACAGTTACTGCCTGATGTGCTGAGCATTTTTAACATTTTCTGTTTTGAAGTTGGTTTTTGTATTTGAAAGCAGAAAGTGCTGGAGAAGGTCAGTGGTCTTGAAGCACCTGTGGTGAGAAAAACACAGTTAATGGGTCGAGTCTATTGTGACTTTTAAGAACTGAAAGGAGTTAGAACATTTGGGGTGTTTTTATGCTGTAGACAGACGTGCAATCTGTTCCACTCGCTGCACTCCCCCCTTTGTCTACAACATAGAATATGCTATTTTCAACCACTTTCAGTTTTTAACAGTCATAACTGACCCTAAACCTTAACTATTTTCTCCTCCACAAATGCTGAAAGACCTGCTGATTTTTCTCCAGCACCTCTTGTTTTTATTTCAGATTTCCAGCGTCCATAATATTTTTTTTTATGAAAAGTGTTCTGCTCTCTTGCGTTGGCATTTTGCCCCTATTTTCTGAAATGAATAAATAACCAGAAATAGTTCTTACATAGTTTCCTGACTTAAATTGTAGTAGCTCTTATCACGCTACTCATTCATAATCTGGTAAAATACCACAGACCCAAAACATTTTGCTTTCACAGGAGCAGGCAATTCTCATCCCAGTCCTGATGGCCAATAAACTCTGGCAACGCCCACATCTAAGGAACTTTTTTTTAAAAAAAAACCCGCAATGGCATAAATATAAAATCGTCTCAATTCAGCACATTTAATCCTTATCAATGAACCACCCTAAACCATTAGCTAGCTTAGCAATAAGGGAACAGTCTTGTTGTCACTGCCAGTTTGTAAGCTTTTAAAAAAATATTTGTAATGTAATCTTATTTGACTGTACTGTGGGCAAGTCTTCCTAATCAAACAAAATCAGAGGTACTATATGCACCAAAGCTGTCGCATGTATTGTATCCTAACCAGTAAAACTGCAAACAATCGGAAATTGAAGTGATTATCTTGTGAGGAGACACTGGGAGCAGCTTAGGTCTATATTCACAAGTATTTAGAAGCTTGAGAGGAAATCTAATTGACGTATATAAGATATTAAAAAGGATTGACAAAGTAGACATAGAGGGGATATTTCCCCTTGTGGGGCAGTATAGAATGAGAGGTCATAGTTTTAGGCTATAGGGTGGCAATTTAAAACAGATGGGGAGAATTACTTCTCTCAAATGATCATGAAACTTTGGAATTCACTACCTCAGAGTGCAGTAGATGTCAGGACAATGAAGAAATTTAAGGAGGAGATAGATTTTTGGTTAATGTCTGGTTTGATCAATCATATCTTTTTATTTACCATGGTGTTCTTTCACTAAAACATAAGCACACAAGGCTGCAGATTGAGTTTCAATGATAAAACACAAGTTTATTGCACAAAATAAAATAAAATAAAACAAACCAAGTTAACTACATATAACCCAGAATTATTGTTTTAGAGCTTGCATTTTAAACTACTGGAAAATGGGTCTTAGCCTTTTTGCGTGTGTAGGTGCTTAATAATTAATTAGGCCAGTCTTTCAGAACCATGACTTTAAAACTAGTATGTGTCAGAAAGAGCAGAAACTGGTTTTGAAAAATTTTGAATCCTATCTATTCCTCAACACCATCACTTTTTAGTACACAAAATCCAAATACATCTTCCTTCCCACTCCAATCTTTGACGATTGCTTCTCAGTTTTGCTTCTGTGAGCTGTGAAGATTTCTTACGTGAATCCTCACAGAACTGTGGTGTGGAGGTGCCGGTGTTGGACTGGGGTGGACAAGGTCAGAAATCACATGATACCAGGTTATAGTCCAACAGGTTTTTTGAAAACACAAGCTTTCGGAGCGTCAGTCCTTCTTCAGGTGTTAGTCAACTATCCTAAATAATCTCCTTCTTGTGGAGAGACAGTACTTGTTTCTGATCTTAGTCAGGTCTCCTTTGAGCTGAACCCAAAAGCTTTTGAACAAAATTAGAAAAGATTTGTGCAGCTCCTGCTATTTCTGACACATTCTGGTTTAAAGTCATGGTTCTGTAAGGCTGACTTAATGAATTATTAAATACCTTCACAAAAAAAGACCAACACACATATATCATAGAATCCCTACAGTGTGGAAACAGGCTCTTTGGCCCAATAAGGCCACACCAAACCTCAGAGAATCCCACCCAGACCCATCCCCCTAATCTACACCTCCCTGAACACTGTGGACAATTTAGCATGGCCAATCCACCTAACCTGCACATCTTTGGACTGTGGGAGGAAACCAGAGCACCCAGAGGAAACCCACACAGACAATTTGCAAACCCCACAAAGATGGTCACCTGAGGGTAGAGTTGAACCTAGGTCCCTAGTGCTGTGAGGCAGCTGTGCTAACCACTGTGCCACCATGCTGCCCTAGCAACTATGTCATTTTAAACTATGACATTAGTTTAAAATGGAAGCTCTAAAACAATGATATAAATATACATACAGATATAAATCATGCAAGTCATCATATCTACCCCAAAGAAAAGTTAAAATTTATCATTAAGAAGCAGTTTTATTTCCCAACAAAAATTCTTTTTATCACTGTTTCTCTATATAATATTAACAGTAATATTATATTGACATAAAACTTGGGATGAAATTGTGATGCAACCATACTTACATAAGTCAATTTGCATCACAGCACTCAGTTTCTTCCCTATACTTTTGACAAAACATCAACTATAACATTTTAAAAACCGAAAGAACTGTGGATGCTATAAATCAGAAACAAAAACACAAATAGCTGGAAAATAGCAGGTCTGGCAGCATCTGTGGAGAAAAATCAGAGTTAACGTTTTAGGTCGAGTGACCCTTCCTCAGGACTAGAAAGCAAAACAAATAAAACATCAACTATAACATTTTCTTTTCCAGGCACAAATCTTAAGCTCCACCAAAACAACCATAAGCTCTTGACACTGCAGTTCTTAAAAAAACATTGAAGGTTTATGATTTGTGTAAATAACAGGTTCTTTCATATGATGTAAATTTCAAAATGATGTATACCCAATATAAGCCACAATATCTCCTTCCCTATTGTTGAATATTTCTGTTGATTTGTGGTCAATTTCTTTGCCATTCAATCCCCATCACATAACGTTGTTGTAAAATTGTACCCATACGAAAGTTTTGCATTTTTTCCTGGGCATGGAAAAAATATCAAAATAGCCCTGACTTGCTAGATGCTACTTGGCCTTGTCCTTCTTTGTAGCCTAAGTCATTCATTTTTGCTTTTGTAAATTCCCTCTTAGCCAGAATTATACCCAATTGTTCTTTGCAGCTGATGAAACAATCCTGTAACATGGTGTAAATATTCTTCCCAGGTTTGGCTGCAAACAAACATGTTGTTGATGTAAGTCACGCAGTTATATAGTAATTCAATGACTTTATTGGTCAATATTGTAATGTTCCTCCTCTTATTTTTCATTCCAAAAGGCATGATTTTACTTTAAGTAAAATCCATCCAGCTGACTTTTCTTTGTTTCTATTGGTCAATTGAACTTGCCAATACCCTTTTAGCAAGTAAACTTTGGTGACGAATCACACATGTCCAATTGTTTCAATGCAGTCTTCCAGTTGTGAAATAGCATGAGTCCACTTTCACTTAATTTTCATGTTAACTTTGCAATAATCAATACAGCATCTTTGTGACCCATTCAGTTTCAGCACCATCATGACTGGGGAGCTCCAACTGCTATGATTCAAATCAATACTGTCATTGTCTATCATAAACTTAATATCTTCCCTCACATGAGCGAAATGATCAGGATTAACTCACTAAGTTTGTTTTGTAGATAACACAACTCTACATTAACATTATGAAACAGTCAATGATTTCCTGGCTTCTTCACACAAATTGACTCATTATATTGTAATGGCCTTTTAAGTCACTTCAATTGTTTTCAGGAAGATAAAATATTATGCTATATAATATTTTACATTTTTAAATATTTATTTAAGACAGACTTGAAGGAAAAGGCAGGTAACTATAGACCGGTGAGACTTACATCAGAGGTGGGTAAGTTGTTGTAGGGGTTTCTGAGGGACAGGATTTACATGCATTTGGAAAGACAAGGATTAATTAGGAATAGTCAACTTGGCTTTGTGTGTGGGAAATTGTGTCTCACTAACTTGATTGAGTTTTTTGAAGAAGTGACAAAGAAGATTGATGAAGGCAGAGTGGTTGATGTTGTCTGAATGGACTTCAGAAAGCATTTGACAAGGTTCTGCATTGTAGACTAGTTAGTAAGGTTAGATCTCATGGAATCCAGGGGGAGATAGCCAATTGGATACAAAGTTGGCTTGGAGATAGGAGACAGAGGGTGGTGTTTTTCAGACTGGAGGCCTGTGACCAGCGGTGTGCCATAAGGCTCAGTGCTTTGTCCACTGCTTTTTGTCATTTATATAAATGATTCAGATGTGAATATAGGAGGCATGGTTAGTAAGTTTGCAGTTGACAGCAAAATAGGTGTAGATTATCTCAGAGTACGGCAGGATCTTAATCAGGTGGACCAATGGGCTGAGGAGTAGCAGATGGAGTTTAATTTAGATAAATGTGAGGTGCTGCATTTTGGTAAGGCAAACCAGGGCAGGATTTGTACAATTAATGGTAGGGCGCTGGGGAGTGTTGCCGCACAAAGAGACCTAAGGATACAGGTGCATAGTTCCT